CACTAGTAGCAGAGTAAGAGTAGGGAAGGAAGTAAATAAATGATTCTTGTCTTCTCATTTACATCTACTTTTCTGTGTGCTTGCATCTTTCTTTTTAACATTTCCTTCTTCATTTTTCACCTATTATCTAATCACCATCAGATAATCTCATATTCTACTTTTCTCAATTTCTTAATTCTGGAGTAGAATTAGAAAAGTTTTATCTTAATTAATTTATCACTTGTTTAAAAAACGGTTTTGGCTTCATGAGTATGGCAGATTGTATTTTCCAAAGATGACCACAATTATATTTCCCATCCTCATGCTCTTTCAGAACCTTGCCACTTCACCATCAAGAGGTCCAGTCTCACATCTCTCTTCTTGAACCTGGTAGGACTTTGCCTCAGCTAATAGAGTATGACAGAAGTGACGTTATGTAATTTCTGAGGCAGGAACATTAAAATGCCCTGCATTGACTTCCATTTCTTTATCTTGAGAAATTTACACTTGGAACTCACTCATTGTGCCATGAAAAAGCTTAAGCAGCCCCTGGGTGGGCCCACATGGAGAAAAATCAAGATGGCTGCACAAGCTCTGGCTGAACTTTCAGCTGAAAGCCAGCATCATCTGGCAACTATAAGAGAGAGAAAATGTCAATGAAATCCATCTGGTCTAGGGTGTCTTTTAGGACCACTGTGTCCTTGTTGACTTTCTGTTTGAAAGATCTACCCATTGATATCAGTGGGGTGTCAAAATCTCCTACTATGACTGTATTACTGTCATTCTCTTCCTCTATGTCCAGTAAGACTTGCTTTATATATTTAGGTGCTCCTATGTTGGGTGCATGAATGTTTATAAGGGTTATATCCTCTTGTTTATTATTATGTAATGTCCCTGTCGGTCTCTTATTACAGCTTTTGTTTTAAAATCTTTTTGTCTGGTGTAAGTATTGCTATCCCACTTTTTAAATTTTTCATTTCTTTTCATGAAACACCTTTTCCCATTCCTTTACTTTCAGGCTATGTGTGTCTTGTTCTGAGGTGGGTCTTTTGCAGACAGAATATATATGGGTCTGATTTTCTTAACCATCCAGCTACTCTATGTCTTTTAATTGGAAAGTTTAAGCCATTTACCTTTAAAGTGTTTATTGATAGGTATGCATTTGTTGTCATTTTATTGTTTATAACTATGTTCCTCTGATTTATTTCTCCTTCCCATCTTCCTCCTCTTCCTCCTCCCTTCTCCTCTTCCTCCCCTTCTCCTTCTCCCCATTCTCCCTTCCCTTCATTG